GACTCCCACAATACCAGTTCACTCACAAGACCTGTCTCCCACGAGACCTGTCTCCCGTACGACCTATGTGAGGGCTCACGGAAGGGAGCTATAGCGAGGTCACAAGAGCTCGTGATGCAACTAATAAGTTATATTATAAGAGAGCTAAAAGAAGTGAAGAAGTTAATCATGTAAAAGAAGAAGAAGAAGAGCTAGTTAAAGGGTAGTAACGTAATAATAATAACCTAGTGCCTTACACGTGACTATATAGGCCTTAATATCCCCTCATTTAAAAAAAGATAATAGCCTTATTATTAAGATAATAAGAAAGAAAAAAAGAAAAAACTATTAAATCCCTTATTTATTAAAGTGTATAATAATTTTATATTACTTAATTACCTTCTTTATTAATTAAATTTATATAAAGGCTAAAAGCTATTAAAAATATATAATACACGTAATTAAACTAAAATTAAAGCTAATTTCTTATTTTAATCTTTCATTTTATTTACTTATTAGCTAGTAAACTTAATACTATTATCGCTAATATTAGCTTAAGTATTACTATCTTTGCTATCTTAAGTAGTAATAATACTAGCTTAAGTATTATTATTCTCGTTATCTTAAGTGGTAGTAGCACTAGCTTAAGTATTATTATTAATAGTAGAATAATAGAAAGACTAATAACTATATAATAGCTTAAAAGAGCTAATTCTAGTAGTAACGTGTAAAGATAAGTTCATGTAAAATATAACGTGTAATAGAGAAGAAAACTAATACGCGGTATTAAGTTAACTACTAATAATAGTACGTAGACTATAAATTAAAGTCTAGATAATTCGCTTTAATTAGCTATTAGCTTATTAGTAATAAAGCGCGCTAGTATTTATCTTAATATTTACTATCTTATAAAGAGATTATTATAATTAAGATACGAGTTTAGAGTTAACGTTATATATAAAAAGGTGTAATATACCTTAGTTTAAATAAATTAAATGAATGTAAGCGTTTACTTAATCTTTAATTAATCATCTTAGATTTTCTAGAATATAACGTATAACCTTTTTCGTATTATAGGTTTAAAATCTTTTAAATAATAGAAAACGGTTTAACTTATTTATATAATAGCTTAGTTTAATTATTAAGGTAATAACTATTATAACTAGGTTTTATTAGCTTAATATAAATTAAATCTTTATATTCTAGCTTTAAAGAAGGTATACGCTTTATATTATAATAAAGCTTTATCTTTATAATAAAGAGTTAAGTAGCATTTTAAGCTTTTTTATAGCGTTATTATTATACTTCTTTGTGTTAATTTACGTTAAAGAGCGGTAATTTAAATACTAAGAGGTTTAAATAATAAAAAGGCTAATAATCGTATAATAGCTTAAAAGAGCTAATTCTAATAGTAACGTGTAAAGACGAGTTTATATAGAATATAACGTATAATAAAGAAGAAAACTAATACGTGGTATTAAGTTAACTATTAATAATAATATATAAGCTATAAATTAAAGTCTAAATAATTCGCTTTAATTAACTATTAGCTTACTAATAATAGAGTGTACTAGTATTTATCTTAATATTTATTACCTTATAAAGAGATTATTATAACTAAGATATAAGTCTAGAGTTAACGTTATACACGAAAAGGTATAATATACTTTAATTTAAATAAATTAAATAAACGTAAGCGTTTACTTAATTTTCGGCTAATTATCTTAAATTTCCTAGAATAAATAAAGAATATATACGTTAATAAGGTAACGTTTCTTAAAGGGTATTATATATTTAATTATATAAGCGAGTTTAATTATATTATTAATAATATAAGCTTAAAGAAGAGTATATTATTTAAAATTTATTTTATTCTTAATAAGGTAAAGAAAAGTAACGTTACACACGTATTATACTTACGTATAGGGTTTAATTTACTATTAGGGAGAGCCTTAAAGGGAAGAAGGTTTAAAGGGTCTTAAGAGGTATATAGGTTTCTTTATTAGAAAATTAACGTTAATAGATTAATGTTATTTACTTAAAGCTTTTAAAGGGGTTTTATTACTAATTAAATTAGCTATTCTTTCTAATAGTAAGGTAAGAGTAGGTAATAAGAAGCTATTTAAGAGTATTAAGTTATCTAATAATAGAATAAAAGAAGCTAATTAAAAGCTTAAGGTAAAAGTTTATTAAGTTTAAATTTACTTTTATAATAAGTTATTAATATAATAAATATTCGCTCTTTTCGTAATTAAACGTAACTTTATTACGTTTATTAGAGTAATAGGTATAAAAGCTACTTTATAAAGTTATAAGTAAGAATATATTAAGCTTTAAATATTATTAATTATAAAAGTATATGTAGTTAATAAGTAAGTATAATCTAAAATAAAAATTAGTAATAAATTATTAATATTAGGTTTATTAAGAGCTATAATAGCGCTATTAATAGTTAAGGTTTTTATAATTTAAGGCGCGTTATTTTCTATTAACGATTACTAGAATCTTTTAGCTAATTCTTTAAGAAGTTTAATAAGTTAGATTTCTTATTAAAGCTTTAACTATTTCTATTAGGTATTTTAGCTTTATTTAAGCTAATTTAGTAATTTTTAAAGTTTATAAAGGAAATAAAAGCTTAAACGGGATAAGAGGGGCCTTCTTTATTAAAGATCTTTTTATACTAATCTAATAAAATAATAATAGGCTAGCGTTAATTATTATTTTATTTTTAATAAGTATTATAATAATTATCGTATTTATTAAGGTATAAAGGTTCACGTTAATAAACGTTACGTTTACCTTTTATAACTTTATTTTAATTCTAGCGTGAAGAGTATTATATTACTCTAAAATAATTAGAATTACTACTATAATAATTAGTATTAATATAAGAGTTTCTTAATAAGAAGGCGTAATCTCTTTAATTAAAAGATTAGTTTTAATTTACAATAAGCTTATCTCGTTTATTATATAAGTTATAATTATAATAAAAGCTTTAACGCTTATTATCTTAGCGTTTAAAGTTTACGCGTAATTATATATCCTTTAAATTCTAAAAAGACTTTTATAAGTCTTACACTTTCTTTTAAGTGTTATTTTAATTCTATAAGGCCGCCTATTATTAAGTTAATAGTTAAGCCTTAATAGCGCTTAATATAAGATAATCTTATAAGATATTTATTAGTTTTACTAGAGAAGAGTTTACGTTAAGTATTATATAATAAGTAATAAGATCTTTATTAAGATTATTAGCTTTTATATATAAGGTTATCTTTTAATTAATGTAAAATTAAAGAGAAAGGGTATCTTTAATAGCGAATAAGTGCTTTAAGGCGTTCGCTTATATAATAATTATATTATAATTCTTATAAAAACGCTAAGATAATTCCCGTTTCTATAAATTAAGGTTATATACTAAACGCGCCTTTAACTTAAGGTTAAGGGAATTAAACTATTAATAACTATTAAAGGTAAAAGTAAAGAGTAATTTTAACACGATATTATTTAAGATAGCTTAAGTATTATAGCTACCTATTAGCTAGTCTAGCTAACTAATATAAGCTAAGATAAGGGTTACTTTAAAGTTGTAAAAGAGAAGGTTTACCTTAAAGGTACGTGCGAATTATTTATTTAAGTGGGTATCTTAATAAGAAGGTAGGTAATATAAGTAGTCTTTAAAAGGTATATAGCGTAGGATTAAGTTACCGTTATATTATAAGATAAGGTAAGTAAAGGTAAAGTTATAAGGCTATCTCTTAGGTATTTAGCTGCTTTACTTTAAAGATTAATAAGAAGAAAGTATAAGAGTTTTTAGTTTATTCTTATAATTATAGTTTAATTTACTCTTAAAACGTGTAATAATCTTAATTATATTAAGCGTTAATAATAAAATATTATTTTTATTCTTAAGTAATTAACGGAGAATATATACATTAATAAGATAGCGTTTTTTAAAGGGTATTATATATTTAATTATACGAGTAAGTTTAACCACGTTATTAGTAATATAAGCTTAAAGAAGAGTATATTATTTAGAATTTATCTTATTCTTAATAAAGTAAAGAAGAGTAGTATTACGCACGTATTATACTTACGTATAGGGTTTAATTTACTACTAGAAAGAGCCTTAAAGGGAAGGAGGTTTAAAGGGTCTTAAGAGGTATATAGGTTTCTTTATTAAAAAATTAACGTTAATAGATTAATGTTATTTACTTAAAGCTTTTAAAGGGGTTTTATTACTAATTAAATTAGCTATTCTTTCTAATAGTAAGGTAAGAGTAGGTAATAAGAAGCTATTTAAGAGTATTAAGTTATCTAATAATAGAATAAAAGAAGCTAATTAAAAGCTTAAGGTAAAAGTTTATTAAGTTTAAATTTACTTTTATAATAAGTTATTAATATAATAAATATTCGCTCTTTTCGTAATTAAACGTAACTTTATTACGTTTATTAGAGTTAATTCGTATTAAAGAGTAATAATAGTATAAGGGTCTTTTAGCCGAGTAACTTTATTTAAAGATAGAATTTACTTAGCTTTATTCGTAATTTTAAAGGGTAATATATCTTCGTTTCTTAGCTTACCTAGGTAATTAAGAAATTCCTTAATCTAGGAAATAGTTAAGGCTTTAAGGTCTTAAACTATAAGGTGCTAATAGCGTAGGTATTAAGAAGAATTCTCTTAATAACCTAAAGGGTATAAACGAGATTAGCTTAATTTAAGGATAAAATTTAATGGATTTTAGTAGAGTTAGTAATATTTTTTCTCTAAAATTAAGGGGCCTTATAACGCTAAAATTTTAATGTTTTAATTAAGAGAGTAGGTAAGTATAATTACTACTATATAAGGGCTTACGAAAGGGAGCTATAATAAGGTTATAAGAGCTTATAATGCAACTAATAAGTTATATTATAAGAGAGCTAAAAGAAGTGAAGAAGTTAATCATGTAAAAGAAGAAGAAGAAGAGCTAGCTAGAGGGTGGCAGCGTAGCAACAATAACCTGGTGCCTCACACGTGACCATGTGGGCCCTAACAGAAGGCGACAAGAGCCCAGGAACTGGTGACAGAATTTCGGGACATGGAGATGTCTCGAGTCAACGGGAGGCGATGAACGCACGATTTAAAGATGCACCGACGCCGGCAGTCAACACCCGGAAACGAAAGTTGGACCCTACAGCTTACACTGTAGGCTGGATCTGCGCTCTGAGAATAGAGCATTTTGCCGCGCGTCCACTTTTCGATGAGGAGCACGTAGGGCCAGAAGCTTTGACTGGTATTAGAGATTTCGAATATACCTTAGGCAGAGTGGGAGAACACAACGTTGTTATCGTTGTCATGCCTGAGGCATGTTCAAATGCCGCCTCTATTGCCGCTCAACATCTCTCATATAGCTTTCCCAACATCCAGTTCGGTCTCATGGTTGGCATTGGAGGCGGGGCGCCGAGTCAGAAACATGATATACGCCTTGGCGATATTGTTGTTGGTGTCCCTCGTGGTGACAAACATGGTGTATTACAGTACGATATGGGCAAGACCATGCAAGATGGAAGCCTCCACATAACAGGCTTTTTAAATCCGCCGCCAATCTTTCTGCGAAATGCGGTGGACAGACTCCAGTTCCAGTATGAGATTCCAGGCCAGCAACTTCAATTAACTATCAACAATATCCTCAGCAGAAACCCCAGATTACAAACCTTTAAGCGACCACATGCCAGCGCGGACAGGCTGTATCAAGCTGAAGTCACGCATCCTCCAGGTACAGCGAGCTGTGAGACGTCCTGCGGTAACGAACCGATGAAGCTTGTGCTGCGACATGAGCGGGTTCCGTTCGAAAACGATCCGGCTGTTCATTATGGGGTGATTGCCTCAGCAAGCCAGGTAGTAAGGAATGCTTTTATTCGCGATAAGTTAGCAGAGAAGAATATTCTTTGTTTTGAAATGGAAGCTGCTGGCTTAATAAGCCACTTTTCATGCTTAGTCATTCGTAGCACGTAGGCCCTAATCCTATAAACCGCGGCTAACGGTCAGCCGTCTGAAAACACTATATAACACGCATAAGTATAGCGCTTACCCATTTTTAATAAGAGATTTACACATTAAGTTATAAACAAAACCTATATTATTTATAACCCTTTATTTATAATGTATTACGTTAATAGAAACCACGTAAATACTTATAAAAGAAAGTTTTTAGTTAATTCTAGAAGCTAAAAGTAATTCACGAAAACGTGCTAAACATTATTATACTACTAATTAGCTAAACCTAGTAGAGTTAATATAAGGGAAAACACCTATTATTATAATATATCTTCTTTAGCCGGCTAATAATTAGCCGTGGTTTATAGGATTAGGGCTATATAATTATGTAAAATTATAAGATTATAAGAGAGACTAGAAGTTAGGTAGCTAAAGTAAGGGTAGCTATATTATAATAACTAAAGCTTATCCTATTTTTTAGTTATAGAAGGTATAAGGGATATAATTTTAAAGCTTTTATTTTACGTAATATTATTAATCGCGTTATAGGTAAGTAAAGTCCTTTAATTACCTTATAATTATTTTCCCCTTACTTTAATTAAGCGTTAAATAGCCTTTATAAGAGAGCTAAAAGAAGTGAAGAAGTTAATTATGTAGAAGAAGAAGAAGAAGAGCTAGCTAGAGGGTGGCAGCGTAGCAACAATAACCTGGTGCCTCACACGTGACCATGTGGGCCCTAACACGTGGAGTAAACCGCCTCTTTCGGTAATGGATGCCGTGAAGAGTCTTCTCGACCCCAATGGCAGCCGCGGCATAGATGAGAATATCGAGGCCAAGGAAGAGTAACAGATTGCTCTGGCTGACCGAGTACGAGGTAGAGAAGAGCCCGGCCGCCTCGGCGGGCATCTTGCCAAGGTCCGCCGGAAGGCCGGCAAGCTGCCACAAGGACATTTGCTGGGTAAAGTACACGCTGTTGGAGCTGGGGAATAGGAACGAGAGCGCCGCGACTGTCGCATGCCGAGGATGCGGCCTGGACTCTGAAGCGTAAATCTGTGCGGCAATGGACAGAACGAGAAAGACAAAGATGATGTACACGGCGGATACCCGCGACTTGGAGAAGAAGGCCGAGGCGAAAGCCGTCGAGCTGTCGACCGCAAAGCCGAGTAGTATCTGCCAACCGATGAGTGTGCTGGCGCTCGAGCTTGGGAACGCCAGGCGCTGATACAATGCTCCCATTGCAACGTAGCACGGCATGGCAGCCAGGTCGAGCGTCAGCAACCAGCTCAAGACGCGGGATAGTCTCCTTCACGGCTCCCTTGTGAGAGGGGCATATTTTGATATATGTACCAACGGGACGCGGCCTGCAGCAACTCGCCACGGCATTGAAATCTTCGTATCCCATGTAAAATCTAGGGATACGATGAAATCTGCGCTTGGTGGCCAAAGATTTCATGTACGCGGCCGATCCGCCTGTGGGGTGAATGCGATTATCGTCAGACCCCCATTGATCCAACAACAACCGCCAATATGGTCCAAGCCTAAGGCTGGAGGATCGTACCGACTTGCGTTTGGAACTACATACATTGACTCGGCTGGATGCAACCTCAAGGCGCCTTCGATGCCCTCGGAGATGGGCCGACGCGGCCAAGGGACAGCGGCTTGGCAGGGGAAAAGGTGACTCTTCCAGTTCGGGCAGGAATGCTTCTACAATATTGAACGGCATTGGCCGAGCTCGAGACGGCACAGGGTCGTATCAATCAGTTGCTCGCCGTGTTACGTACTTGACGACGCAACCCGCTTCACATGGGTTGCTTTGGGACCGTTTGACGTGCCAGAACAACCCAGCACAACCCCCTGACAGACTAGCCTGCCGTGGTAGCTGGCATTGGAGACTGCGTGTATTGGTCTTGTTTGGCCGCTGCCGACAGAACGTCGTGCGCGGCCGTCACCGGGGGCCAAATCTGATGCTCAACTTGGTCGGAGGCAACTTGTGTCAACCTGACTCAACTCCTTGTTTACATTGACAACTGCCGCAGTTGACACGACGCACGAAACCACTTGATGGAAAGAAAAAAGTCGTAGTTCGAGGTTGGAACGAAGGATGGAAGTCTCAAGCGGCGACGTCCGTGGCTTCGCCGACTCAATGATCAACACTTCCCATGGGCGGTGAGGCAGTAAGAGAAACGAACCACAGCGACGGTCGTCTTGCCTGGTTCCGGTTACCGTCAAATAAGAAACCCAGCCAGATGATTCTAAATTGACTTGTTGTGCAACGTCGACGCAGTATCTTTCAAGTCTCAACATTGGATATGTGCCATTTCCGGCCAACGGGGAGTTTCCTTGGTAAGAACCACCATGCCTTTACTCCTCACGAGACAGCCTATAAGCCCAGCGACAGATGAAGAATAAGCCCGAGAAACGCCAAATAACCTTATTAAACGCAGATGCCGCAGGCAATGGCACCTACACCTACGACCGACGAGATATCTTCACATTCCCGTCCCAACAAAGCAGCCCAAAAGCCAACCATGTAATTTCCAAAAACATGGCACAGAAAACCGCTAGTTCTCAAAACAAAACTCAAAACTCAATTAAATCTAACACCAGGATACACAGAATGCAAAAAAGACGATGCTGCCGCAGCGGGACGCTCCGCAACACAATACTCCTATGTCAAGTGCCCAAAGGCCACATTTATACGTTTAGATATTTAGATATCGGGATATTCGTTCCAAGAGTCGCCATTACTACACCTTGTTCCCCCTCCATGGCCCAAAGGCCGACCCTGATAAACTATCGCGCAACCATTTTACAACACGCACACACTTGCCGTGTGACAAGGGCTCAATAGAGGGCTTATCTATTAGTAAGTTTTTTATATATTCGTTTAAAAGATAAGTTAAATTATATAGCTATTATAAGGTAATATTTAAAATTAAAAGAAAATATTAATAATTTACGTTTCTTATTATTATCTTTTACTAAAAGTATTATTAAGTAAATAAATATAGCTTTTAATAATTATAATTTACGTTTTAACGTTTTCTTTCTAGTATTTTTCGCTTAAAGTACTAGTAATTATAATTTATTTTTTACTTATTAACGTATAATTATAACTATAACGTTTAATAAAGAGTTCTTAATAGTTTTAGTATTATTATAGCGTATATAAGATAAAGCGTTAATATTAAGGTATTTTTAACCTTTTTTATAAGCTATTTTTACTTAATTTCTCTATTATTTTAATAAGTATTATATAATAAGTAATAAAATCTTTATTAAAACTATTAGCTTTTATATATAAGACTATCTTTTAATTAATATAAAATTAAAGAGAAAGAGTATCTTTAATAGTAAATAAGTGCTTTAAAGCATTTACTTATATAATAATTACACTATAATTCTTATAAAAATACTAAAATAATTCCCGTTTTTATAGATTAAAATTATATATTAAACGCGCCTTTAACTTAAAGTTAAGGGAATTAAACTATTAGCAATTATTAAAGGTAAAAGTAAAGAGTAATTCTAGTATAATATTATTTAAGATAACCTAAGTGCTATAGCTATCTATTAACTAGTTTAGCTAATTAATATAAGCTAAGATAAGGGTTACTTTAAAGTTATAAAAGAGAAGGTTTACCTTAAAGGTACGTGTAAATCGTCTATTTAAGTAGGTATTTTAATAAGAAGGTAAGTAGTATAAGTGGTTCCTAAAAGGTATATAACGTAAGATTAAGTTACCGTTATATTATAAGATTATTTATAATTACTAGAATTATATTATAACTATTATTTTTAGGTAAACTAGAGATAAAATTAAGGTATAATATATAAAGTAATACTTAAGGCGTCTTAATTAATTATATACTTTTAAAGGGTTATTAGTAGTAGAGCTTAGATTTTTAGCACTTAAAACATTTAAAGATATACTCGTATAACTTCTAGTATATATTATAAAAGAAAACTAGCGAGTTAAGAAAAGCGAAAGCCTTAATTAAACCTAAGTAGGCTCTATTATCGTGTATTATATAAAAAACTTCTTTTATTATAAAGGTAAGAAGATAAATATAATATCTTTCTTTATTATTATAATAGAGCACGCGAGAATAAAGGTGTATAAAAAAGGCGAGCATTAAGGCCTTAAGTTTATTAGTAAGTTTTCCATATATTTATTTAAAAGATAAGTTAAATTATATAGCTATTATAAGGTAATATTTAAAATTAAAAGAAAATATTAGTAATTTACGTTTCTTATTATTATCTTTTATTAAAGGCGCTATTAGGCGAATAGATATAACTTTTAATAATTATAATCTGCGTTTTAACGTGAATATATACGTTAATAAGGTAACGTTTCTTAAAGGGTATTATATATTTAATTATATAAGTAAGTTTAATTATATTATTAGTAATATAAGCTTAAAGAAGAGTATACTATTTAAAATCTATCTTATTTTTAATAAGGTAAAGAAGAGTAATATTACGCACGTATTATACTTACGTATAAAGTTTAATTTACTATTAAAAAGAGCTTTAAAGAGAAGAAGATTTAAAGGGTTTTAAGGGGCATATAAGTTTCTTTATTAAAAAATTAACGTTAATAGGTTAACGTTATTTACTTAAAGCTTTTAAAGGGGTTTTATTATTAATTAAATTAACTATTCTTCTTAATAGTAAGATAAAAGTAAGTAATAAGAAGTTATAAAAGTAAACTTATTAATAGCTTATTTTTAGCGTACGTAATATAATTAAAGTAAGGTTTAATAGAATAAGTTAGTAATAAATTACGTTACTAATTTATACTAAAGAGTAATAATAATATAAAGGTCTTTTAGCTAAGTAACTTCGTTTAAAGACGAGATTTACTTAGCTTTATTTATAATTTTAAAGGGTAATATATTTTTATTTCTTAGCCTACTTAAGTAACTAGGAAATTTCTTAGTTTAAGAAACGGTTAAGGCTTTAAGATTTTAAACTATAAAGTACTAATAGCGTAAATATTAGAGAGGATTTTCTTAATAACTTAAAGAGTATAAATGAGATTAGCTTAATTTAAGGATAAAATTTAATGGATTTTAATAGAGTTAATAATGTTTTTTCTTTAAGATTAAGGGGCCTTATAATACTAAAATTTTAATGTTTTAACTAAGAGAGCAGGTAAGTATAATTACTACTATATAAGAGCTTATCAAAGGGAGCTATAATAAGGTTATAAGAGCTTATAATACAACTAATAAGTTATATTATAAGAGAGCTAAAAGAAGTGAAGAAGTTAATCATGTAGAAGAAGAAGAAGAAGAGCTAGCTAGAGGGTAGCAGCGTAGCAACAATAACCTGGTGCCTCACACGTGACCATGTGGGCCCTAACACATACCTTGCAGCCTGTTAGGCTGTGATTCCCGGAATTGGGGTCAAAAAATTGAGGTCAACTTTTCAACCCTGGTCAGTACATGCTCCAGCAATTTAAAGTGGGAATATTACTTTGTACCATCCCACAGTGATTTTTTTAGGCTTATGTGTCTTGAGTCTCCTTGTAAGGTAGGTTATTTGGTGTTTCGTGCCGTATCGCGAGCCTCAAATCATCGCCGTATCGCGAGCCTCAAATCATTATCGCCGTATCGCGAGCCTCAAATCATCATTGCCGTATCGCGAGCCTCAAATCATCACCACCGTATCGCGAGCCTCAAATCATCATCGCCGTATTACGAGCCTCATTAAATTATTATCGCCGTACATCATCGCCGTTATCTGATTAGTAAATTAAAGAAGAATATTAATTACCTTAATTAATAGAAATTAACGTAAAGTTACTATTAATATTTTTAATAAAGAATTTTGAAAAGATTTCACGTAAATCTTGGCAATTAAGCCTTTTATAGGTATTAAAGCTACCCCTACTAGCTTAGTACATCGTGAGTAGGGATAGACGGAGGTTTGTGTAAAATATTAGGTCTTTACTTAAATTTATGTGTTGCATTCAGCTAATTTAAGTCTAGCGCTTATATTATGCTAAATTGTGCGTCGAAATTGAGGTCAAAAGATTGACCCCAATTCCGGGAATCACAGCCTTAAACTACAGCCCACTCACCGTTCCGCTCTTACCGACGCAGTCGGCGACGGTATATGTAAAGTAGGGGTCAACTGGTCAACTGGTCAACTGTAAAAACTGGTACCCCTGGCACCCGTGGATATCTAAGCTTTTCTTGGGCCTTCTATGAGCTACTTATTTTCTC